TTGTGCCTCTACCTCATGGTGTTATCCTTCTTTATTATTATTATTATTATTATTATTATTATTATTATTATTATTATTATTGTAAACCTCTTGCTCGCCCTGCCTTCAGTTTTACGTAGTTTTTCAACATAGCCGAAAGAAGAAAAATCACATATTGCTATAAAAACTCTTATGATCAAGACGCTTCCAACTTCATCCTACCTCACCACTGACCAGTGGTATAAAGGCTAGTACATATAGTAGACTTTTAATAAGATCAAAACAATTAACGTATCTGGTTTTGTAAAAGAAAACAAACTTTCACCAGATCTCTTTTAACATCTTTTGTGTTATTTTCAAACCTTGTCTAGCTGATTTGGCTTTTTTTTTTTTTTTTAGGAAATGATAATTTGTTTTGATGAATATATATCCAGGCCCTCAACTCTGCTTGTCCTTTGCTGATGTTTCAGTGCTATGCGGAGGCAGGCAGAAAATAATATTCTATATTGTGTGTGTGTGTGTGTGTGTGTGTGTGTGTGACTCAGCTAATAATAAAGATAGAAAGAAATAGCTAAACCAGAGACGCACCTTCAATCCATATTACTTGTCTAGAAGAAAGAGCTTCAGAAGAGAGAGAGAGATGACCATCAGTGTCCTTAAAACTAAAACCATGGTGATCTCTGATCGTGATGAGACAGAATGCATTGGAGCAAGTCAACCAGTTCAAAGAGTTGTAATAGTCTGAAGCGGAGCCATTAAGACTGAGCTGGCTACACGAAAAACAGCTGCTGTGAGACTCTTCTAGGCCATTAGCAGAGGGTTTCTTAGGAAAAGAGAATTCGGCAAGAAGACGAAAATGGCTGTCTCCCACCAGTGCCAGTTCTGACCTACGGGTGTGAGTCATAGGCAATGACAACAGCTCACAGAAGTCAGCTTTAGGCCTCAGAAATGGGATATCTGAGAAAGGTTGTCCAAGTGACAAAAAGGGACAAAGTCCGCAATCGGACAGTACGTCAAAATCTTGCTACCCAGGCCTTGCAAACCTGAATGGATCAGTCACAGTTACGATGGTTTGGACATGTATGCAGAATGGGAGAAAATCGGCCAACATGGCAGGCATGGGAGGCTAAGAACCAGGGAACCAGACCTCCAGGGCTACACAGAGTCCATTAGGAAGACAACATCCGACAGTTCCTAACTGACAGAGGAATGGAATGGAACAAACCCAGACGGAAAACTGCTGACAGAAAAGGCTGGCGATCTCTCTGTCAAACCTCTACATCCCAAGGTAGACGAGGAGCGATTAAGTAGGTAAGTGAGAAAGAAAAGTGAACTACTGTTAGCTTCGCATGTTTGTACCAAGTGTTGTATATACGAAATGGCACCACATCCTGACAAAGGTAGCAGCTAAAACTGATCCGTTAAAATTAGAGGGCGAGGTGTATTACAAATAGCGAATTGTTATGAAATATATGTCTACGGGAAAAAAAATTGTAGTGAAGGTGACCATAAATCAAATTATGCTGTGCTTGGCACTTGTGCCGTCGATTTGAGTGCTGTTGATTGCTGAGTTTAGAAAGTTAAACAGGGCAAAAAATTACTCTGGCAAGTAGTATATGCTGTAGTTTCTCGCTGGCATTGGGGCTATTGAAGTGAGCGGGGTTTAAACGGGAACTTATATTATGCAAAGGAAATAAGACGTTGTATTGTCAACGAGCTTTACACACTGGGCAGAACAATTTGCAAGAGGAACATTACTGGGCATTACCAACTGAACATTCCTCGTAGTACTAGTAAATATATTGACAGTTCTACTCTTCTAGTGTAATGTTTATCTGTTTGGACTGTAGCATTAGTTACTATTATTGAAAAAAATGTGACAATTCCTTTTCTTGTTTTTGTTTTTAATGTTTTTACACTTTTCAAATTCTCTGTCGCTACCAGCATATGTTACTAACAGGGGAAAAGCGTTCTTGTTTTTAGTAATATTGTGGTCTAGTCACCGCATTCTTGGCACCTGGTCAACACTTGATTGCTTCGTTTCTTGTCCAGCAACAACAACAAAATGCAAACCTTTCATCAGTACCATTAAAACTCTTTTTTTTTTAGCATCTCGTTGTTTCGTTTAAATTGATTATTTACTTCTCCTTCCTATTCCTAATTATCATAGCTGATAATCGTATTTCACGAATAATATCTGCTCTATATCCTACATTGTACCTATTGACAGTACTTGCTTCACAAGTGCCCCCGTTTACATTATTAATTAACCTTAATCATGAGAATTCTAGTTTTGTAGTATCCAGCACTTTCACCTAGCGGCACTTTTCGTTCCAGTACAGTTTATGACTGACTGACTGACTGACTTTCTACCCCACCAGGACATCACACAAGCGACAAACACCCGATGACACAAAGTGCCACCACGCGGATGAGGATCACCGTAGAGAGGTCCCAGAAACCGCGTTCAGACAATTGGCCATACTGATGGCCTGCCTATATCGCGGCCCCTGGCAAAAGCCAGAGTGGGGCTTCAAATAACAAAAAATTACGTCTTAAGAAGGACGTAAGGAATCATGTCATAGTACAGTTTATTTTAGAGCGACCCTTAAATACCGTACCTTGTGTTGTGGTGACCACCAGCCTTAACAAATATGTTCGTTGCTTCTTCATAACTTCAGTGAATATGTGTTTTCCGATGGTCGTATGCGAACCTGTTAAAGGGTCGTTCAACCCCTAAAAGGGTCGCGATCCACAGGTTGGGAACCGTTGTCTTAGAGCTTGTCTTCTACTGTGGCTAATCTAGAGGCTATATTACCATTTAAGCACCATTAGGATATATAGAATATGGTCTTAGTATTGCGAATATCCCATACAGGCATAAAGATGTCGTTTACTAATAATGACTATCCATCTAGTCCAACAAATATATCTCGTGACACACGAAAATATAATTTGTAGACTAACCGTGTTGCGTACAGACAATTCTCGACAGTGCCAACACTCATTAGAAGTAGTTTAGCCTGACTTGCTACCAGGAATGCCGAATTTCATGTAATATCTGAGCTAAAACTGAGGCGATAGTGGCTAAATTCAGCCAAACAGCTTTCCGTTTTGAGATAGGACTGATGTAAGACGTTTTTTTAGCCAGTCTGACTGTCGACCCATGTATTCATCTATCCATGCATCCATTCACCTACTCGTCTACCTACCACTGTCGGTTGTTCTGGTTGTCTGTCTGTTGGCCAAATCAACCAATGAAATCATCTGCCTGTCTGACTGCCAGTCTGTCCTCTGTTGTGTCTATCAGTTGTTCGGTCCGCGCACAGGCCTACCTACTTATATAACTACATTTCTGTTAGTCATTTAGTCTGCCTGTATGTTTGTCTGTTGGTCTGCCTGTTAGTCAGTCTGTTTGCCTGACTACCTGCCAGCGTGCCTGTCCGTCCATCCATCCATCCGTCTGTCTGTCTGTCTGTCTGTCTGTCTGTCTGTCTGTCTGTCTGTCTGTCTGTCTGTCTGTCTGTCTGTCTGTCTGTCTGTCTGTCTGTCTGTCTGTCTGTCTGTCTGTCTGTCTGTCTGTCTGTCTGTCTGTCTGTCCGTCCGTCCGTCCGTCCGTCCGTCCGTCCGTCCGTCCGTCCGTCCGTCCGTCCGTCCGTCCGTCCGTCCGTCCGTCCGTCCGTCCGTCCGTCCGTCCGTCCGTTCGTCCGTCTGTCCGTCCGTCCGTCCGTCTGTCTGTCTGTCTGTCTGTCTGTCTGTCTGTCTGTCTGTCTGTCTGTCTGTCTGTCTGTCTGTCTGTCTGTCTGTCTGTCTGTCTGTCTGTCTGTCTGTCTGTGTTGATAACGTTTCTTAGTATCAGTTAAAGATTTATGATGAAGGTACCGTAGGCAACTAATGGGGCCAGAAGGGCAGAATGTTGCGCGGGCCTATGTGCCAAATTGTTACCCTTTTGAAAAGAAAAGTTCGCTAGAATATTTTAAAAAAAAAAAAAAATCTTTTCTTCAAATAATGTATACTATTCAAGGATAGCCTTACCATGAACAATCAGCAATCGATAAAACAGCTACTATATTTTTTTCTTTTAATTTAATCACAATGGCCAGATTGCCGGCTGTTTGCTAAAACTGCGATATTATCGGCTAACTTAGCCACATCTCTTCTAAATTAATGGCTAAATTGTTGGCTTTGCATGCGACGTCGCCCTGCGCTCTGTCAGGGTCTCTTGTCACGCTATAGAGCAATGGGAAATAAATGACATGGCTAAACTGTGGAAGATCACAAGTTGGCGGCAAGGTCAGCACGAACTCAATGCTAGTGTTGGCAACTCATGCAGTAAAAAGAGAGGAAAAAGGCTGCCGATATTGAAAGCCTCACTAACATCTCTATGATTACAAGCTAGTTTCTGGGTAAGCATCATCATCCTCCTTAGCTATTATAGCAGGTTTTTCTTTAGAGCCTCGGTCGTACAATGAGCAGCCAGAAATGAACTGAGTGCCTTATCAGTTTTACTGCCTCGTGTATTTGTATGTCTAAAGTTATATTAATTGTCTGTCTAAAGGTACACTGGTGTTGACGTGTGTATAACAGTGTGAATATATATAGTTATAAAATATTTCTAAACATCTAGCGTCTAGCTGCTATGCTACTCCCTTACTTATACTTACTATAGAGTAAACCCACATTACAAATGAACATCTTCTTCTTTGCGTTCACTGGCTGTAAACTCGTGGAAAATTCTCGTTGTTCGTTCATTTCTAGACTGCAGTCATATTACAGGATCTGAATGTTGCGTGTACGTCCTTTTCACAGATCTGACTTATCTGTATGCAAACTGTTGGTTCCTTTCGTCCCAGGCTGATGCACTCTGACTTTGAAAGAAGCTCCCAATTAGCCGACTCTTACGGCATGCTAATGAGGAGGCAGTGGGTATATATTGTTTTCCTCACGAAGGAGCTCCAGAACCTACACGGGTATCCGAGTGAATATGTTTAACAATGAATACCTACTTTTTTTATCTTCAGATGATAAAGCAGCCATTTTTGAAGTCAGTGGAGGCGGCACTAGGGGAAAGGTTTACGGAAAACATCAGAACCGTTTATGAAATTCTCATCGACTTCATCATTCTAGAACTCATAAAAGATCTCAGTAACTCTGAACAACAGAATACGTAAATATTGGAATAATGGGTGTTTTACTGTAATGATTGTAAGTTGAAAATCAATGACGTGATGTTGCAGCGCAGATATGCTGAATGTGTAAATTTATATTTATAACGTGTTTCTAGAAGTATAGATCTTTAACGAATGTTCAAGCGTGAAAAAGAAAGCCTAAACGTTTATACACATATTTATAAAATATGTCTAAAAGTCTGTAACTAGTTTTAAAGAGTGTGTTTAAACTGGTAAATGTATAATTATCACGTGTGTCTGCAAGTGTAAAACTGTATTTTTTAAAAACTCTAATTTTCTACTTATTTCTCCAATTATTCTTTCACTCGATCTCCGTTTCATAATCTTCCTCTTTCTTATCTTCCTCTTTCTTGTACTTGTTTCCTCCTTCCTCATCCTCCGCTCTTCCTCTTCATATTTCATCAAATGATGGTTTGAGAAACGTACGACGTGAAAGCAAAACCTAACAACGAGCTCTGATGACCGTGGAAAGAGGTTCCGAACTCTATTCTTTGTGAATGAAGAGAGAGTTTCCGAACTCTATTCTATATATGGCATCGAAAGGATTGCACAGCGTAGGAAACAGAGTTAACCTATGTAAGCAATATATTGTCTTATATTTAACACAACATGGTGGTGATGATAGTGTTGATATAAAAATTATAGGCAATTAATGTTTATACTGTGTTTAAACATTAATTTTTCTGCTTTTTACTCTTATTCTTCGACTGCTTCTTCCTCTTATTCTTCGACTATTTCTCCCTTCTATTCATCGACTCATTCTTCCTCTTATTCTTCGACTATTTCTCACTTCTATTCATCGACTCATTCTTCCTCTTATTCTTCGACTATGTCTTCCTTCTGTTCATCGACTCCTTCTTCCTCTTTTTTCTTCGACTATATCTTCCTCGTATTCTTCGAATGCTAATGAGAACATCACAGAATCAAATAGCGTGGTCACCTAGTCTGAATCTCACACAGTCAACTAGCAGCTAGAGCGTATTATGTGAGAACTGAGGCTATAAGGAGACGAGAGAGTGACCAAGAAAGAGATGGTCGTAGAGAGTAAAGGAAACGTTACAGAAAAGCAAAATGGCATTTAGCACAAACAACTAGAAAAAGACATGTACACTGACTCCTATCTGCTACGCGTTAAGACATAAGCGGTAGGACAGGAGAAGAAAAGTGGTTAATTGCACCAACATGCAGATTGGCCACTTTAAGTTTTCTTGATCGAATTTTTCATCTTCGTAATGGTGGGTGTTCAGCAATTTAAAAAATTGCATGGAACGCTTAGAAAGCTGGGATTTCATTCCAGCGACATTGGTTACAAGATGATTTTGTCGGGGACAATGATGAGAATATTAATTTGCATAGTTCAATTCATAAAATGGAAAATAAAAGGACTGAGGAAGCAATGACGCCCATAAGAAACCCTAAAACAAAGGTTGAAAAGAGAGGCCAAAGCTACTGGACTTGATTCCCATGATACTGCACTGATTGCACAGGATCAATCGGAATGGTGGGAGGGGGGGGGGCGAGGGGGGGGGGGCTGTCAGCGGTGTGATATATAATGGCACAACAAGGCAATAATGACGATAATGACGACAATTTGTGGCGACTAAACTAGCCATGTAGCCTCCAACTCTCAGACTCACGAGCTGAACGCCATTGCGTTACACAGCACCCCCCTAAAATTGGATAAACACATTAACCAAGATATGAGTGAACTAACTTTCTTTTCAAAGGGTCAGAAAACTGGGATCGCAGGTATCACTCTTCCAAACTCTCATATTTCATTGATGCATCTTTATCAATAAAGCATACATTCATACATACATGAATTTTGTTTTATTACTGTTCGTCCATCACAGGTAATGATGACCAGTCCTTTCATCCCGTGGTGACCGGACTAGGTTTTGTGCGTGCGCAGATGGCTGATAGGGCTAGTTCTAGCACTGAAAGTTCTTGAGCAATGTGCACAGGGAATTGAAGTCGCATCTCTCTGGTGATTCGCATCATTGACTTTCCTAGCTTGTCTTTTTTAATCTCCTGCTGCAGTTCTAGCAGCTTCATGGACCACAGCTCCACGATAAAGAGAGGAGCGCCAGGATGAGCGGTCATGTGCAGCGACTTCCCAGGTTTTAGGATCAGGACTTGAGTCTTTCACTTAGGTTTTGAACCTGTCCTTGATACGTATATTCTGTACACATTGTGAGCGTTTTTCTTTTAGTAGATCACCATATAAAATTCTCTTTAGCAGTCGGTGGTCAGACATGCGGACTATAAGACCTTCCCAGAGAAGTACATAATAAACAAATACAAACACGCACACACAAACATAAGAGCATTCATTATTATTACCTATACATATACTCCTATACACACATACACGTACATACTAACACAGGGCAATGATGATGATAATTTGTGGCGACTAATCTAGCCATGTAGCCTCGAGCTCTGAAAACCACGATTTGAACCCTACTGCCCCACCCAGCACCTCTTTAAAATAGGATGAAAACAGTTACCAATATATGATCGAACTAACTTAATTTTCATAGGACCACACATTGAGTACGCAGGTATTGGTCTCTTCCAAACACTCACCTTTCATTTATGCATTTTATCAAAATATAGAATAGAAGTAAAAAGTTAAAGGACCATTTTCCACGCCCTCAGTTGTTTTGGGCATATAGGTCCAGGTAAAAGCCAAAAGTTCAAGCGAACGATTAACCTCGACATTCCGCCGGAATTCACAGCCAGTGAACGAAGAAGAAGCGCCCCCAAGCGTACTGGGCATATAGGGGTAGACTTATATTTTATATCAATCAGCATTCGGTGGGTGATGTGGCAAACGTCACCCCTGCCGCCTTTACTTCCTAGGACTGTAAAGACTACTAAAGTCAGGCCAGGTTGATCTGGAAGCCAAAGTCATTAAAAAACAAAAATGACCTGACCCAAGACCTTCGTCTAGCCGCTATACCAGGGTTACATGCAGGTGTGGACAGAATAAATTAGTAAAATTTCCTTAACACGAACTCTAAAGAGCAGACAAGTCAAAGATTCGCGTTAAAAATTATTGCTAATCGGGAACTGATAACAATACACTTCTGCATAGAAAACACAATTTCGCTTCATTAATGGAGTGTTCTTGAGCTAGGTCGTATTTACCAGGTTTAACTGTGTTAAACGATTGAGAATTAACAGTTTGACAGTATACAGCTGTGGTCTCCAGAATGTCTCAGGTCGCGCCATTCGAATGCATGGTAAGATCACTATGCCCCCTTGAGTGTATGGCAAGACCCCCATACCTCTCTTGAGTGTATGGCAAGACCCCCTTGTCCCCTTTGAGTGTATGGCAAGACGCCCATGCCCCCTTTGAGTGTACGACAAGACCCCCATGCCCCCTTGAGTGTATGGCAAGACCCCCATGCCCCCTTTGAGTGTATAGCAGGACCCCCATGCCCCCTTTGAGTGTATGGCAAGACCCCATGCCCCCTTGAGTGTATGGCAATACCGCCGTGCCACCTTGAGTGCATGGCAAGACACCCATGCCCCCCTTGAGTGTATGGTAAGACCCCCATGCCCCCTTGATTGTATGGCAAGACCCCCATGTCCCCTTGAATGTATGGCAAGACGCTCATGCCCTATCCAATATATTACAGACCCCCATGTCCTCCTTTGAGTGTATGACAAGACCCCAAAGCCCCCATGAATATATGACAGACGTCCATGCCTCTTTGAGTGTATGGCCAGACTCTCATGCTCTCTTGAATATATGACAGACCCCCCATGAACCCCTTTGAGTGTATGGCGAGACCCCCATGTCGCCTTGAGTGTATGGCAAGACCCCCATGTCCCCTTAAGTGTATGACAAGACCCCCAGACCCCTTGAGTGTATAGCAAGACCACCATGCCCCCTTTGAGTGTTTGGCAAGACCGCCAAGCTCCCTTGAATATATGACAGACGTCTATGCCTCTTTGAATGTATGGCAAGACCCCCATGCTCCCTTTGAGTGTATGGCAAGACCCCTATGCCCCTTTTGAGTGTATGGCAAGACCCCCATGTCCCACTTTAGTGTATGGCAGACGTCCATGCCTCTTTGAGTGTATGGCAAGACGCCCATGCCCTCTTTAGTGTATGGCAGACGTCCATACCTCTTTGAGTGTATGGCAGTCGTCCATACTTCTTTGAGTGTATTGCAAGACCCCCATGTCCCCTTGAGTATATGACAAGACCCCAATGTCCCCATGAAATATGACAGACGTCCATGCCTCGTTAAGTGTATGGCAAGACCCCCATGCCCCCTTGAATATATGACAGATCCCCATGAACCCCTTTGAGTGTATGACAAGACCTCTATGTACCCCTTGAATGTCTGGCAAGACCACCATGCCCCCTTAAATATATGACAGTCGTCCATGCCTCTTTAAGTGTATAGCAAGAATCCTGTGCCCTCTTTAATATATGACAGACCCTGATGCGCCCCTTTGAGTGTATGGCAAGACCACCCATGTCCCCTTGAGTGTGTGGCAAGGCCCCCATATATCCTTGAGTGTATGGCAAGACCCCCATGTCCCCTTGAGTGTATAGTGGGACTTTTATGCCCTTCTTAGGTGTATGGCAAGACCCTCATGCCACCCTTTAGTTTATGGCAAGTGCCCCACACCCCCTTAAGTGTATAGTAAGACCCCCATGCTCTCTTGAGTGTATGGCAAGACCCTCGTGCTCTCTTGAATATATGACAGACCACTATGCCCCTTGAAGTGTATGGCAAGACAACCATGCCCCCTTGAGTGTATGGCAAGACCCCCATGCCCCCTTGAATGTAGTAGAGTTAGACTCCTATGACCTCTTGAGTGTATGGCAAGACCCCCAAGCACCCTTGAATATATGACAAACCACTATGCCCCTTTGAATGTATGGTAAGACACCTATGCCCTTTTGAGTGAATCGCAAGACCCCCAAGCCCTCTTGGATATATGACAGACCACTATGC